TGAGCTCAATGTGTTAAAAATGCCGTCTTTAACGTCCTTGTGTTTGTGAGCTCAATGTGTTAAAAATACCGGCTTTATGTCCACAAAGCAGATCCTGATGATCTTCAGGATGATTTGATGGATCCCGACACACTGACCAGGGGTACCGTGTCTGCCATTACTGATGTCTTGAGACAGGAGCTTGGTCCCAGAGGAAAGGATGATTATGATAGACCTACTGTCACTCAGTATGACCGGTAGGGACCCTCACACAGTAGGCCTCCCACTCTACTTTGTCCTGCTAATTCTTTAGAAAATTACTTCTTCTCAGTGGGTGTTGTATATAAAACCTTTCTTTTACCTAGGTGCCCTGACTTTGAGCTGATAATTTCCCTGAATTCACAAAATTTGTTCAGTTTTTTTATTTAAATTTGCTAAGAACTAACAAATGACATAATTTTATTCACTTTTCTAATAGTTAATGTGTGGGTTTTTCTTCCCAATTCTTTCAACATACAAAAGTGTATATGAAAAAGGAGAATTGCAGAAGTCAGAATGTGAGAATTTGAATAATTTTGCATGACCTCATGGATTGTAAAAATTATACATGTGTGTGCTGGATGGTGAACATCCGTCTTTAGCTAGGAGCACATTAACCACTACCTGCCGGGGACTCCGAAATCGGAGCCGTATGGTTTATATGCGTGGCCGGGGTCTCCGAACTCGGACAAAGGAAACGGGGCCCTGTAACAAAAGACCGTACTCCGAACAAAAGACTAGGCTGCTGGGCATTACGGGCATTTTTCACTCTCAAAAGTGGTGATAATCCAGCATTGAGAGCGAGCGGATTACCAACGGGGACAAAGGCGCTCCACCACCGCAGCAATGAGCCACACAGTACCGCTGCACGCTAATCTGGCCCCTATTGAAAAGAGGTCAGCAGTGCACTGAGCCAGGTTTGTGAACAAAAGACAGTTATACAACACCGCACAATCTGGGCTCTGTTTACAAGGCTGGTGGCGTGGCTGAAATACTCGGGCTTCAATGAAGGCCACATGTCAACTTAGAGTAGTGCCTAAAGATTACTTGGTGCGGCTATAAACAACC